ACTAAGCTTTTTACCATCACAATTAATTCTGATACGATTAGATATTTATAGTAACAAAAATTTCCGATACTAAATCGCATTATGAATATCTCACACATAAATTGGCGCTATCACATAAAAATATGGCGCTGGCGCCACATTAAAATATTACTGAAATTTTAAACTATCTTTTCATTTCTAAAATTTCACCTAGGTAATGTAACCAAAACCGTACCAAACCCCAAAAAATGTCCTTCATTTTCTCATTTCATCAGTAAAAACAACAAAGAACACTCTTCTTCTCTCTCCTCATTCTATTTCACGAAGCTAGGGTTCTAAAACAATCTGCTCAAATTTACAAAAATTATCACTCATCTACTCAAATTTACAAAAAAAATCACACATTATGCTCGACGCTGTTCTCTAATGGTTGCGCATCAAGTGGGATCTGCTGGGTTTTGCGTTGAAATTCTCTAACGGTGATTATTTTGTAAGTTCATAGTACTAATCTTTGAATTTCATTTATTTTCAGCTTAATTTGTCAAAAATTGTTGATTAAAATGTAAAAAAAAATTAAGGGTTTTGTCTCAACTTGTTTGGTCATAAATTAGTGAGTATTTATATGGTCAGAATTAATTTGGTATCAAAATTTCAAAGGATTTTGTAAAAATAGTTAAGAATCTAGTTGGTCTGAAATTATATAGTAAAAAAAATTCGAAAGATTGTGCGATGGTGTTTGTTTGTGCGATGGGTTTTGTGCTATGGGTTATGCTCTATTCGGCATAAGAGTAGCGTTTGATGCAGGTTTTAGGAAGTTGGAGGCTCCTCTGATTTCTTCCATTTAATTGAATTGCTGAATGATTCTAAGCATGAGAATTCTCCTACTCAATTAGTTGTATCTGATATTTTGAATTTTGCCTTGCTTGGATATAAGTCTGAGAACATATTTGAGGTGAAGCTGACTGGCTATGGGTTATGCTCTATTCGGCATAAGAGTAGCGTATGTGTATTGTCACTTAATTAGAAATCATAAAATCACTCAAATTTTAGATTGTTTAGAGCCTTGCTTGGATAGGAGCCTCAGGCACTATGATGTTGCACCAAGTTTATCTTTGCATTTCCTTCTTTTTCCAATAGATTATTGATCTGACTTTAGGAGAATGGAATAAGCTTCAGGAATAAAGTAAAATGTACTTGTATTTTTGATATGCTAAAGTTCATTGCCCTTTTTTTTGTCTTGATATGCCAACTGTTACAATGATCCAGGTCTGGTGAATATGGATGTATTGCTTATTTGACATTCGAAGATTCTTATGCTCTGGAAACTGCTGCCTTACTCAGTGTATGTACAGCTGTCTAAAAACTTCTGAGTTTTTTTTATTAATAATGGACTGCTTTTGGTTGTAATTTTTTGGATTAATATACATATTGCATGATTTTTTTGGTTGCTTATATTCTTCATGTAGTATAGGACTATGAGCTTAATATATGTATTGCAGGAGTGCTTAACAATATATAGCTTGTAATTTTGGTCATGGAATATGTGGATATCTGGATTTAACTTCTATGGAAATTAATCATTAGCTTTCATGCGTGTTTTTTTTTATTTGTTTAGTATATTTAGGTGAACAAGATGAATTTTGGACTTTTATGCAGTATTAAATGATGCCTTTTTTGATAGCCATTGGGGTCTGGAGGAAATTTAACTTCACATCTAACATAATTTTTAGCAGACGATACTATAGTTATTGAACTTCATATTCAGAAGATGATTTTGCTGAGAGATGTGGAGTCTGATGTCAACTAGATAGGAGTAAGGAGAACGTTAAGGATGTCCAACAAGCTAGAAACAATTTCCTATAATGTTATGAAGCATTAGTTTTATTTTGAAATTTGAAACAAATTCACTCTTTGTTCAATGTAAGTAGTCATGCCCTCATTTGTAATCTCTTTGGTAAGCAAAAGTAATTTCAAACAAGTGCCTAAGGACTTGGGAGAAGAAAAGTCGGGTATAGTAAACAAGCTTGAGAGAAATTAGAAAGTTTCAAGTTGGGAAAATGATCCAACTCATTAATATCTCTTCGTTTCAAATAACAAAACAAAGCGCACTCTAACTCGTAGCACTACTCTATATATATACATATACTACCTTATGTACATTGTAGTCCTACTCATTTTCGGTTATTTTTTTTTTATTTTTTTTTATTTTGTTTATTTTGTATTTTATTATTTTTATGAATGAAAGAATGACATGTCTTTATTATTTGGGCTAATCTACATTTTTTTTTATCTACAAAATTGTTATTGTTTTTTTAAGCTTTTTTGATAATACATATGAACTTTTTCTTTGTTTATTTTGCACCTTTGATGACGGTTATAACTTTCTTCTATTTTATTTTAATTTAATGTTCATTGATGTTGTATCAATGTAACAGGTAAATAAGTACGTAGACAGATTGTGGTACGTTAGGCTTTTCAAAAAGGGAAATTATCAAGGTACTTCTATTGGTATTGCTCGTTCTTGCTGTTATGATAGTTATTGGTAATTTGTGTATAAATTATATGGTGATTTGTGCTTATATGATTTCATCATCATTATTATTGTTGTTGTAATATTAGTTTGAAAGTATGTGTGTCGTGTTTTCCATGCAATTTTTTTTTCAATATTATTAAACTTAAACTACATGTAATTGATTAATATTTGTTTACTTTAAAGTTATAATTCGAGTTTGAAAAATAATTGTATTCATCTTTTTTTTTCTTTTTTTTTTTTGTATTATATGAATATTAATACCGAGTTTTAGTAACTTATATTGATTATTACTTTATTATTGCTCCTGAATAGGATTTGATAGAAGTCACTAATTGATTTTATTGATACAGGAAAAGGTTGGGTATATATGCCAAGAAATGGTCCTGAATACAGGGAAGGAGTAAATAATTTCATACAATCTTCACTTAATATTTCAGCCTTTAATGGGAGGATTAAATGTCCATGTAAGAGATGTGCTGTCAATGTGTATCTTGATCCTAAAGATGTTCGTGAGCATTTATTTTGTGTGGGTTTTGATAAAAATTATGCTAATAGTATTTGGGTATTTCATGGGGAAGAACCTTCGCCATCTAGAGTAGACGATGAAGTTTTAAGTGATGAGGAGTCTAATAATGGGGCCGATGATGATATGTATAGATTACTTCATGATGCTTTTGGATTTCCTAGTTCAAAAAATAATCTAGATGACTTTCCACAAGTTGGTGAGGGAGAGACGAATTTAGAAGTTCAAAAGTTTCACCAGTTTATGCAAGATGCTAAAACAGAATTATATCCTGGTTGTGATAAATTCACAAATTTGTCATTCATTCTCCGACTTCATCAAATGAAATGTTTGTATCGGTGGAGTGATACATCACTCAATCATATGCTGCAATTATTAAATGATGTTCTTCCTAATGGATCAAACTTGCCAAAAAATTTATACCAAATGAAGATCATGGATGATTTAGGTTTAGGATATACTAAAATTGATGCATGTCCTAATGATTGCATGTTATACTGGAAAGAGAAAGTTAATGATGAAAAATGCAATGTATGTGATGTATCAAGATGGAAAGATCCATTAATTGGAAAGAAAAGTGGTCCAGCAAAGGTGCTTCGACATTTTCCACTAATCCCACGTTTAAAACGTCTTTTTATGTCACGTAAAACATCTGAATTAATGAGATGGAATAAAAAGGGACATAGTAAAGATGGGAAACAAAGGCACCCTGCTGATTCCTTAGCTTGGAAGAATTTAGATGAAAATTATCTAGAGTTTGCTCGAGAAGCTAGAAATCTTAGACTTGGTTTGGCTAGTGATGGTTTCAGTCCATTTAGTAATATGAGCACTAATCATAGTACTTGGCCTGTTGTGCTTATGGTGTATAATTTGCCACCTTGGTTATGCATGAAAGATTCATATTTTATAATGTCTCTCCTTAATTTCTGGTCCTAAGGCTCCTGGTAACGACATTGGTGTTATGAGCGAATAATTGCAAACGACGATGTGATGTCAACATATTTGAGCCAAAAGTTGCATGTCAAATGTTTGGAGTGGCATCACTGAGGATGCTAAGTTCTAAGGAGAAGGCACAAGGACTGCAGTAGGTAATGGTATAAAGACGCTCTTCTAGGATCACAAATGTTGCACAGATCATCCTCCTAGTGACTTAGTAACCCAACCTTTACTTGATGAGTAGTAGGTGGATATTTTTGCTTGGCGGAGGAGCTGTTCTTGGGCGTCAAAGAAACAAACGTGCCTTAGACATTCCACCACGGAGACTAAATTTTTGGTGTCGGCAACAACAAGAGAAGAGGCAAAATGATTGAGGAACATTTTGGCCACAACCCATGTCATCAAACATTTCTTTGAATTGCAACAATGAAGCTACATTGTCTATACTCAAGATCTATACAAATTAAATTATATACGGAGTAATATTATAATGGTGCAAAACCACGTTCATTGTACAAGGAATCTAAAATTGATAACTAGTTTCTTTCGCATCGTTGTTTGATATATTCTTCTATGAAGGGGTATGGTCTTTCAACTTATTATAGTTTTAAATTCAAACAAAATTTGATGCAATTGATTGTAGGTGTATAATTGGCCTCTATTGCGACACCACACGTATACCCATCAAAGTTAAGTGTATAAATGGTGTAAAAGACAAACTGTTCCAAGTTTAAAAAAAAAAAAGGAAATAGCAATAATATGAGAAAGTCAACCAATTTAAATCATCATAAATGTCAATTAATATGTCACTTAATAGGTTATTAATTAATTAAGTAATTAATCTAAAACTCAAAATATCTTCTGCATTAACACGAATATAATCATAATTCTTCATTTTCGTATAAGTATATATGTCTATATGTCAGTCCTTGAGATTGAATATATTCAATTATTGTATGTGAATTCAATATTCTTCCCCTTTTTTTAACCTTCTTACAACAACAACAACAAAAAAAAAAAAAAAAAAAAAAAAAAGAAAAAAAAAAAAAAAAAAAGAGAAAAAAAAAACTAAACAAAACAAAAAGAAAGCATCAACACTTAGCGAAATAAGGACAGAGTCACAGAGAAGTACTCGCAGTAGACCGATAGAGAGAGTGAGAGTGTGAAGAAGATGTTGGCGACTTCAAGTGGCGGCGACTGCAACGGCCATTCTACTTCAATGGCGGCGCCGACGTCAGCGACGACGACTACGACGGCGGCGCCGGCAACTTATCACAGAGATTGGGTGAGGAAGGCTCGCCGTTTATCACGCGACGCCTCTTCCGCCGACGGTGCCGCCATTTCCGACGCACCTCCTTGTACTGACTTCGATGTTGCCTACTTCCAGTCTTACTCTCATCTCGGCATTCACGAAGAGATGATTAAGGTTTTTCTTTCTATTTTCTGCCTTTTCTTCTTTGCAATTTCTTTGTAATAATTCTATTTTTGTTTATGATCATTTCATTAAATTCAGTAATTAGGGTTTATTAACAATTAATTGCTTATTGTTTCTTTAATTATAACCTTTTCAAATGAAGGACATTGGCGCTTCAAGATTTTAATATTTTGATTAATATGGAGAAATGCTTAGGGGTTTTGTGATAATTGAAGTCAAGATTGATTAAGTACATTATGTAATGTTGATTGATTCAGGTTTGTTTGATAACCTAGAAAACTAGCCTCGAAAGTTGGTAATGTTTGCTATGCAGCCCATCAATCTTTTTGTGAATGTATTACAAGTTTGAAACGTAATGTAGGGTTTTAGTGTGAAGCTTTTCTTGCTGACTCTATATTTGGGTTTCAGTTATATGCCGCGAATTATTGCCTCTTTTATAATACTGTTTGTCCAAGAGTTGAATATAAACTTCTTGATTATCACTTTTTAGGGATTGGGATGATCTAGGAAAATGTGGAATTGTTAGATATAATGTGAATTTTCGTAAATTAGGTACTTTACTCTGTCTTGTCTGATTGGTCTGTCCTTTTTAATGTATTCGGCTGTTTCGAAGTCTAGTAGACGAGTTAAGGAGGTGGTGGTGATGTTGCTATTATTAGTTCCTTCATTATTTATCTTGGATTGTGAACTACCAGTCAGAGTTTGGGGTTATGATGAGTTGTTTACACGAATGTCTTTAGGATCAAATGTTCCTACAGTGGTGATTGGACGTGGATATGGCTGATAAAATTGTATGAGATTTAAAAATTAGTTTGTATGATTAACCATTTGCGATGACAAGGATGATTCTACTGCTGTGTCTAAGATTCAAAGTGATCTAGGTGTGTGTCTTGTGTGCAATGCTGTGTTACTCTCTAATGTTTTCAAATGGAATTGTTCTTTTCTCTGCTTATTTTATTTTATCATTTACTATTTTACTTAACTCGTGTTTTGCAAACTTTACATATGTTCTTTGCTAATGTTTTTTCAAACCTTTATGTTTTTACTCGCATGTTATTCCTTCCCTTTTATCCCCTTACCACTCTTTTAAAACTCTTGTAAATTTTATTTGCAAACTCTTTTTGTCAGTCACTTAACTCACTTTTATCCAACTTTTATTCAATCTTTATTTTTATGGTCTTTTTCCTTTTCGGTTGGTTCCTTATGTGATTCATGTTAGCCGATTTCTAATCATTTTGGCACTAAGCTTTTGTTGTTGTGTTGTTGGGTGTAACTTGTAAAAGTTCAAGTGCCACCTGCCTTATATTATGCTTCAAAGCTGTTTGATAACTTCGATGTTTTATCAAAAAAATTCATATATACGTAATAATTGTCCAATGTTTTGTGACTGGAAAGTGAATAAGATTAACATGCAGTCTATTTAATCTGATGAAGACGTTAATGAGTAGAGTTTTTTTTTTATTGTAATTTTATGCTATCTATTGCCATATAACTTACCATAAATATTCTTAGCTCTCTTTAATCTATGCACAGGATCATGTGAGGACTAGCACTTATCAGAATGCAATTTTGAAACATCAACATTTGATTGCAGGCAAAGTAAGGCTAATATTGTTGGCGTTTTGTAATTACTTTCTACTCGGATTTGATCTTTGATAACTCACACCGAAAACATTAGTATCAACCTTTGCAAACAGTGATCGGATTGTGATTCTTGGATTTACATAAAATCAGTAACTCTCTTTTCAAAGTCACCTAAAGTCTTTCATTCCATTTAGGATACATTTGTCATATTTTATTTTAATACTATAACTCTAAATGTGTAATTGACAGTCAGTTTTTACAGCTACCCTTTGTAATTATAATGACAAGAAGGCATATGCATTGGCTTTATAGACTTATAGTATAGGTGAAAGGAGATTATGCACGCTTCCCTGTTAATAGATTTTACTTAACAAGTTTTGCAGGTTGTTGTGGATGTCGGCTGTGGTACAGGCATTCTATCTATATTTTGTGCACAAGCTGGAGCTAAAAGGGTAAATTTGTTTTGATTCTTACTCAGTTTTTTGGATTTCCCAGGTTTTTTCAGCTGATTTATTTATGAAATGAAGGCAAGAAACACAAATTCTTAGGTTTTGCTGCAGAAAACTGTTAATGTGTTTAATTTCTTATAATCAAAGGATGACAATAAGTTTGTCACAGTAAAGAGTAGCTTGAGGTACTCTTTAGATGCTAGAACAATGTAGTTTGTATCAATGGTCATTTTGGGGGCAATGAAGTGATCCTTATATTTCCACATAGATGCTAGTAGGATCTTGAGTATGTTTCTATCCTGATGTTGTAGATGATTATTGGATTATAGAACATTGTGACTATTACTATAACTTTGGCTAGGGCAATGCACAGATTTTAACAAGATATAATTGAATATCCTTATCATACTTGCTATCAGATGAAGCCAACTAGATACATATGAAAACCAAAGGTAAGACTAGAGGAACCTCTCAATGTGGTTATGGAAAGTTAGATATCTCCTGGATGGGTTTGGATTAATTTTAGTTTCCCTTTGAACTTCAATCACATTTTAGTTTTCTGAATGATAGGGAAAAGTGATATACTGGATTACTGATATATCATAACTTTATTAGCTTGTTTTTGTTCACCTTGAAAATGATAATCATGTGGTGAGTAATACAGGGATATATTTGAGAAAGACATCAATTGAAAATGGTATGCCATCCATCCTTAAAAGAAGGTTAAGAACAATATCTACTAATGCTCAACCTACATAGATATTAAGTGTTGAGGGTAGCAGCAGATTTAAGTAATGATACCCTCAAGATAAATTAACGATCATGGTATGTAATATTCATCCAATGACCAGCAACGCTGAAATGAATTTTAATCACTACTTTACACAAGCATCAAACAGGATGATTTGAAGGCTTTATATGACCAAGCATAGTTTAGGAGTCTCTAAGCTCCCAGATAAGGAAGTTTAAGTAAGTCACCTGGAGAAAAACAAACCACTGTAGTGCATTAGTGCCATATCTGCCTTCATTACATGATCATATTAGAAATTCATTTGTGGCATAATCAATATCTTTGTAGCTCTACATTTTTTATTTTTCACTCTTTTCTTATCCTAACCTCATATCTATCAAAACAATGAAAATTGACCCCACTGTCTTTCCTGCAAAATTTTTTATCCATACACTTTAAACAAGGAAGGTGATTGTTATTTTGAAGATAATATCCCCTTTATGATATTGACTCCTAAGAAAAAAAAAAAAAAAAATCCCCTTGTACAAGTTTTTATAGTCATGTTACTCATGTACCAGATTTAAAAGGGATTCAGGATTCAGGAATGTTACTAGCTCTTGATTTTTCTTTCTCGAAAGACCTCTTGAGTAGTTTACATACTATAAGAAACCAATAGATTTATGCCTTGTTCCTCTATGATTTTGAAATTTCGCTGAATGTTAACTATCTTGATTACTCCCTGCTTCCCAAATTTTATGCTAGTTTTGGAACTGCGATTTACAAAAAGTTTAAAGCTTGCAAAGTATATGGAAAGGGGATGTATATGCTCTTTACATTCATGGCTTCTAATTTTCTTTACCTTTGTCAGGTTTATGCAGTGGACGCTAGTGACATTGCGGTGCAGGTATTTTATTGAGATTATGCTTCCTAATAGTAGTCACGGACTCCTCATGTGATTTTAATGAAATTATGCTTCCTAATACTAGTCAGTTGATGCTTTGCTTAGTTCATGTGTTGACTAGATTCTTCTTTGTTGCAATGCGACTCCTTTCTAGTCTTCCATTTTTGTTTAGTGCCAGATTGCTAATCATATAACAATTGTTGGAAGGAAAGATTTGGCAAGTCAATTTCAATTTTTGCACAGTAATGGATTATACTAAATTTCTCAACTGTCTGTCCTCTTAATTTTTTTCTTTTTCCTTCCTGAAGGTAGGTCACTGTTAGTCTATCTATTTATCTTGGAAATCCATCCCGATCTTTATTGGCATTAGTCCAAAATAATATGTGCCCCAAGTTTCAGCGCATTCCGAATTCATGTCCCATTATTATGTTATTGGGAGACAACCCTTGACAAGGTGCTTTATTCCCTCGGAAATCGTATGACAAATCTGGAGAATTTGATGCTAATTTTGTTTTTTAAGCCGTAACAACTTTGGTTTAAAGCTTAAAGCTTGCAAAGTATATGGAAAGGGGAGAACTAAGAAGATGCCATACAATTTGAGGAAAAACACTTTGGTACCAATTTGTTAGATTAGAGGGGATGCTCTAGATTTCTCAAACTATTGAGGTATAAAACTCATGAGCCACACCATTAAATTATGAGGATCTATGAGAACCAATTTAAATTTATGCAAGGGCGGTCTACTATGGAAGCTATACATTGATAAGGAAAGTGATGGAGTATTTATAAGGCAAGGAAGAGAGGATAGATCTTGGATGGAAGGGATTGTAAAAGGACATGAAAAATTTTGGTTTGTAGGAATATTACATTAGATAAAAGGAAACCGAAGGAGATATCTTGGTTGTCATGTTCATGTAGTAGACCTCCACTCTTCACCTTAAATTCCTTCCTTGTTCCTTAAATACAACTCTATGTGAAATAAAGGTGATGATTGTCCATGTACCACAACTTATTAACCACCATCACTTAGAAAATCATTCTTTAGAAGCACCTATTATCATCTCCAAAAATCTAGCAAGTGGCTAGCAACACTTAATTCAATGTCTTTTCTACCCTCCAAATCTATTTGTTTAACCATAAATAAAGAAACTCTTTACTCATCATGTCATAAGCTATGCTAGTCAAACATGAAATATTTGTTGGGGTACCGGTTATCACACATATCCAGGTGCAAAATAATTAAGAGTTGTTAAAACTTCCCTAGTAGAAATTAGAGAGGATGGAGGGAGATATGGGTGACGATTGGTCTTCGAGATTTTTATTAAAACTATAAAGTTGAAGCTCATTAGATCTAGGAGAAAGTCCGAAGATTGGTCTATTGAAGATGAAATCTACAATATGAAGAAAGATTACATTCAGTGTTTTGGTGATGGTGGAGAGAAGTGTAAATTGTGATTTTCGGAGCATTTGTTGTCTTCTCTGGTGCATGTGCTCCATTATTTTCTCTTTCTTCCCCTTGAACTACAGTTGAAGTACTCTTTGCCTTTTGTATGTATGTGTGTGTGTGTGTGTGTTTTTTTTTTCTTTTTTTGAGGATTTATGCTTTGCCACATGAAATGTTAAAAATTATTATATTGGACAATTGGATCCGTAGACCATAGTTGTGCCTTTCTTTAGGTAACATTGGTCGCTTTGTCATAATTATCCCTGAAACCGCCTTCTCCTTTATAGTAGAGTACAGATAAATTATCAAAGAAACAAAATGAAACATTTTAATGGAAGAGGGGTTTCTTCTTAGACCTTAGATCTCTCAATTTTTTTGTCAAACTTATTGAAGTTCGGACTTTCCAGAACCTAGATAATCTTTTCTCATCTCATATGAGACATCAAGACTATCTAGTTATGAAACCTTTTAATTTATTTGTTGGACTTTATGTTTAAATGAATAACCTTTTTTTTCTTCTCAAATGTAACATCTTTATTGAAGAGAGGTTTCTTGTGAGAAGAGCCATCAATATGCTTGTCGGACTTCTTGAAGTTTGACATTCTAGTATCTAGATGTAATTTGATGTCCAATTTGCCCTCTTTCTAGGATCATGTGCTGACATTTAAATTTCTACTTCTCTCTCTTTGTCCCTTGTTCCTATTCCTTTTTTACTCGTGTATTTATTCTCCCTTTGAAGTGAGTCTTGACCCAACAACTATTCTTCTTAATTTCCCCTAACCTATTGTTGCATGGTCAGCTTAATTTTGTAATTGTTTCTCTTTCTTTTGTTTTTGGTTTTAGTCTGGATTTTTTTTCTCATTACTCTCGGATCATCCATATAGTGTATCTTATATGTACCATATCCAACTAAGTTGGACACCCATGTCCAAGTCCTAGTATCTTACATTTGAACCAACCAATGCCTTTGTAGGCTGTAGCAACAATAATGTAACCCATATGCCAACTTTTTGGCTTCTCTATTGTTCTCAATTTTGTATCATAGTTCCTTAGCTACAGCCAACTACTGTCGCACATCCATCAAGCTGTATTCTAAAATGGTATTGCTGCTAGTACATGTTGAAAGAAATGCTAGAAATAGGAATGGTTTGAGAAGTGCCAAGTTGCTTTTGATGACATTAAGGTGGCAATATCATCACTATTTCAGAGTTTGACAAGCCACTTGAAGTATATATCGATGCTTTTGACTCGTGGCAATATCATCACTATTTCAGAGTTTGACAAGCCACTTGAAGTATATATCGATGCTTTTGACTCTCAATTTCCTTAGAAGTTGCAATAGTTTGACTTTCATGTTTGCTACTGCACATCTCTAACAATTTACATCTTTAATATACATTGATACTTGTTCAACAACATTTTACATAATAACATATTCTTAATGTTAGTGAAATTTGTGGTCAAAATTGGATTAAAAAAAATGTAAAAGTCAAATTGTTGCAATTATAAGGATTCAGAGGAAGTATAATTTCGTTTAGGTCATAAAACTCCCTACCCCAACCCACCCTACCAACAACACCCCCAAGGTCTGCTCCTGTTGGTAGCTCTTTCTTCTTCTGTCACAATATATACGTAAACATTTTTTTTTTTTTTTTTGGTCTTACAGTATTTCAAGCACCTCCTCACAATTGTTGCATTGTAACAGGCAAATGAAGTCGTCAATGCAAATAATCTGTCTGATATTGTTAAAGTATTGCATGGACGAGTGGAGGTAGGATTCTGAAACAAACATTTTCATTATCTGGCTAAACCACGAAGGTCTGGCTATGTTAGGGATGATTTACTTGTAATATGATAGAATGTTGCTTCTGAGTGATTATGCTTTTCTAGATCTTGAAAGTTTACTTGTTGCATAATTTGCATTTAATTCTGGAAACTTGGGCCCAATTCAACTCATGTACAAGTATTATTTCAATTGTAAGAAACTGATGACAGCAACACCTCAACAACAGGTTTTAGGATTTATGAACTTTACTCCAGCCAGTGATTTCTGTTTGTCCTTGCTTATGATTGAGTGTCCTTTAACATATTTTTGGGCAGAAGCTGATATATTCATGTAATCTGTGTCAATTAATTACCGAGGAATTTGAGCTTTAAACTGAAATCTAATAGTATATGGTGAAATTAATGGAAAGGTGTAGCCATGTAGATGCATGAGCCCTTAGGAAAATAAGAAAAGACAACTCTTTCCCATGAGTATTCTGTTTCAAACCCCAAGCACTAATATACTGAAAGAAAAGCATTCCTTCTGAAGTATTGTTCTGGAATTCATGTGTCTTCTGAAGCATTTCTTAATATATATCTTACAACCAGAACTAACAGAGTATTGGGACATAATAGCAATTACTGTGTCTCGAGTTCTCAACTATTCTACTTTTTAACAATAGCAATCTTCCATTGATTACTGTATTTGAAGCTGAAATCTGCACCCTGACATTTTTAGCAACAATATCTTTCTGTAAAAGGCTTTGTTTCAAATTATTGGAAGGATAGATATTTTTGTCTGTTGTGCTTATGATTTGAACTGCCTGAAAAGACACCGGATTTATCTACCTTCAAGCCCTTAATCGTTGTCATTGGAGTGGGGATAAGAGTCCAAAGACACTGAGTAAATTAATAAATGCTACAACTTTCAGTTTGCAGGAATTTCTGAGTTGGAAAATTAAGAAGAAAAAAAAAATTTGCTTATGAGAACCTCCAATGATTTTTATCCATTTTTAAATGTTATATTCGAAATCATACCAGAAGTAATTGTTTCAACATTTGTTATGTCGTTAGTCTATCCTGTGTTGATTTAGTATTTGTTATGACATCTCACTGTATGGGAACTATTGTTGTTTATGGCCAGCCTGTTGATGATTTTTGTCAATGTCTGACTGCCATTATTCGCTCTTATCTGACTTCATTTTTGAAACAAAGATTAAATTTGCAGATAGTCTTCCTGCCTGACGTATTATTAAATTTTAAATAACTTGTTTTCTTAGTACACATTTTGTTTATCCTGATCTGAACATTTTAAATACTTGTCTGTAGTTCTTTTAGTCTTTACAGTTTTGCCAACTATTGTGTCTATCATGTATTACCTTATTTCGTGTATTATTGCAGGACGTGGAGATTGATGAAGAGGTTGATATTATAATATCAGAATGGATGGGGTACATGCTTCTATATGAGGTTAAGATTCGAACATGTGTGTCACAGTTACAATATTCTCAGTATTGAGATTTCTCATTTCAGATGTTGCAACCCGAGGTTTCAAATTTTATTTCGCTTTCATTGAACATTAAGTCTTTTTTTTATTTCTGTAGAGCATGCTGGGAAGCGTGATTACTGCTCGAGACCGTTGGCTGAAGCCTGGAGGTCTTATACTTCCTTCACATGCAACTGTATGCTCTTTTCTGTGATTAATTTTTTTTTAAATTACTAATTAATGCACCTTGTACGACTGTATATAACATCTGCTTTTCACTGGTTTATCTGCAGCTATATATGGCACCTGTTACAAATCCTGATCGATACTCCCAGAGCATTGATTTTTGGCGTAATGTATACGGAATTGATAGTAAGTATGAACTATCGCATGTCCATTGACAAATTTATTTAGTTTTAATGTTTTCTTTGGATTATGTCCATACTGGTTGTTTGCTTTTCTCTTGGAAATATTTCTCGTAACATGCTCTGTATCCCTTGTTTGAACTGCAATGAGGAAGAAAACTATAAATCATCAGATTTTTGTTAAGCAATTTATTTATCTAATTTATAATTTCAGGACAGTTTTGCAATTATTGAGGTTGCTGCAACATTCTCCACATATGTATAATTTGTTTGGTATTGTTTGGTTCCTTCCATGTCTTTATCACATGGAGAATCCTTCACCCTTTGTTTAGTTCCTTTTTTGAGAATCTCACCCTTTGTTTTCCGCTACTGGGTTATTTGTGAAGCACTTATTAAACATCTTGCTGTACTAAATTTATTTATCTAGTAAATTTACTAATCTAAAGCAATGATCTTAACATGCACCAACTTTATGCATACATGCATAATCTAATGGATTTATATGCAAAGTCAAGATGACATACATTGGTAGCTATGTTGCAAGCTATATAAAAGAGGAATAATCTTGTCTGATCATATATCATTTATTTCAATTCGATCACTGTGAAACAGTGAAAGAGCAGATTATAGTAAACTATTAGTCATTGTTTGTACTACCCCTTTTTTGCTAGGCCTTTCAATTTGATGAATTTTCTTTTTCTGTATCACTAGTGTCAGCTATGGTGCCACTTGCTAAACAGTGTGCATTTGAAGAGCCAAGTGTGGAGACTATATCTGGTGAGAATGTCTTGACTTGGCCCCATGTGGTGAGTCCTTTCTTCCCCAAGTCACCTCATATTAGTTTTTGTTGTCAAATCTAATTATAGTTGAGTGAAGAGTATCTAGGATTCAAGCGAGTGGTTTATTTTATAGGTTATTTTGTTAAGATGTTTCTACTTTTTGAGATTTTTTTCTCTGAATTCATCTTCTCGAGTGATATTCCTATGCTTTGCTTATCTCTGAGCCACATGTAAAGTGTTTGATTGCATTTCTGTCAAAATGCTCTTTCTTTTGAGAGGTTTTGTTTTTTGAATTTATGCATGTTCAAGTGATATTCCCTTTTCTTTAGCTCCTTGAAAGTGATTTTGGAATGTTTGCTTGTAAGATCTAAACAAATTGATAAAACCTTAGTGTCTGGTAAAAACTTTACATAAACCAGAGGATAGCAAAATTTTTCTTTATAAGGTTAAGACGCGCCTCTTCTGTGAGAATACTAATATGCAGAACAGAGATGGGAAAGTGAGGCAGACATACTACAATGTTTAACAAATTAGGAGACATAGTAATGACATGTTGTGGATCAAAATAGTTTCTTCAGAAAAAAAATAATTCTAAAACATCTAGTGGTAAAAATGCATCTTATATTGGAATCATTTGGAGATGAAATTGCAGTAAAGCAAAAATGTCAGAAAGATGTAACAGAAATATGTTATAAAAAGGCACATATGCTATGGGCTTTAGTAGTGTTTTTATTGTATCATTGGGTCAAAGGGATGACTGACTAGGGAAGATTGCAGTGTGATCCTACTCTTAATCTGAATGCCCAAAGCTTCAAGTTGTGTGATACTACTCCCTCCGTTTCTTTTTAAGTGTTACACTTTGACCAGCACATAGTTTTAGGTAATTTAATTGACTTTAATATAATAAGAGATAAGTAGGGTAGTTGTGGTATTATAAAATTATAGAATAAGATAGTGTACTTAATATTTTATTGAAAGATAAGGAATTTGAGAGGGAAGGAAATAATAAAAAAAAAGTAGTAGTGGGTTTGAGTGGGGACCATGAGAAGAGAGAGATATAACATTAAAATGTAGTTGTTTGCCAAAAATGGAAGTGTAACACTTAAAAAAATAGAGGGACTAAAAAAATTGATGGAAATAGAACTAGAGAAAATCTATAAGTGCTGACTAGGCCCCTGCTTTTGATGTTAGAAGAAATTGTAAATAAAAGCCAGATGATATTAAAATGAGAGTAGAGAGGGAGTCATTTAGGGATTTTCAAACATTGCCTAGGTGAGGGTTTTCAACTGTGTGAAAGGTAGGGAGTGAGGAGAAAGATGACTGCGATGATCGTCTGGATGATCGGGTATAAATTTCCAAAATTGAAGGTATTATTATACGTCTGGATACTTGGATACCTGCATGATTTGATTTCTTGTTGGGGTTACCAATTTACCACCTGGGGAGAGATCAATGTTTTGTTAATGAAGGTGCATAGTGACCGGTGGAGAAGGGGTTACAGGTTTGATTATTTGTTTTTTCCAGTGAAAGGGAAGGAAAATAAAGTAAGAGAGGGTAAGAGATTCATGATGATAACGATTAAGGGACCACCATATCTTTGAAACACGATAAAGGGACCAGTGGACCACCATATCTTTGAATCACTCTGTGTACCGAAGTCCTCCAATTCAACTCACATATACTAGGTAGATGTATATGTACCGAAGTCCTCCAATTCAACTCACATATACAAAGGAGGGAAAGGAAATTGGGAGAAAAACTTCATACATCAGTATATGTACCGAAGTCCTCTTAGTCAACTCACATATACTAGGCAGATGTGCCAAATACATGGATCAAATCCGTGGCGACACCATGCCCCTCTAGGCATATTGAGGGTCTTACAAACCACCCCCCACTTGAAGAACCTAATGTCCTCATCAGGAATTCTTTGATTTTAGTCTGAATTGTAAAGAGTTGTTTCATGCTCCCACTAAGCCTCCCTTTGCTTATAGGAGTTCCTTTTCTTTTAGTCGATGGGTTAAATAACTGACATTAGTGACATGAAAGGTTAGTTATACCTCAAGTCTTTTGACTGGATCCTACCAAGAATAACGATAAGGGGACCACCATATCTTTGAAACACGGAGTGATGTGTCGTCTTGGTTTGTTTTATGAGTTTATGGTGCAAATATTTGAATATACTTTGTCTCTGTAGATGAATTCTAAAGAGCGCTTGCTGTTGGTCTACCTTTTCATCTGACTGGATGCTTTGTTTAGGCTATCTTGTGATCTTATTAACTGTGGCACCACATCCTGATTTTGTTCATGATCTCGGGAGGTGTTTGCTAGCCCATCGTGAATTCGAAATGGGCTCATCTCTATTTCCAATTCTTGTGGAGGTTTTAACTTATAATTGAATTGTGTGCCATTAGTTATGCAATGCCACAAATGCTTCTTTAGTATGGTTTTAATACTTTCTTTTGTTCATTTGTCTATGGGTGATTTAATTTAATTCCGAATTCTGCTAATGAAACCAACATGTGAATCTAGTATTTCGATTACTATTGATAAGTCAATTGATAGACTAGTACTTAACCACATACACAGGGAGTAATTTTGCTGTCGTTACTGTGTTTTTAAATACTTGCTCCACTTTCCAATTCCGGCCATTTTTAAATACTTGCTCCATTTCCTTATTTGGAAAGCTTTTACAATATTTAATTCATTTCTCTCAACTAGTGGACCCAACATAAATCATACTTACTCCGTTTCTTTTTAGTTGACACATTTCTTTAGTCATGTTTGCCAATGCACAAATTCAATCTTTAATATCTTTAATTACCGATAAGCAAAAATTATTAAAAGTTGATATTTTGAAAATATACATTGTAATGAATCTAATAAGATCCCACTTGACTATATTTTTCTTCACATATAAATCACAAAATATGGTTAAAGGGAGGTGTGTGAATAGTGCTAAAGTCAAAACGTGTCAACTAATGAAAAACAGAGGTAGTATTTTATTAATTTCAAATTCTCTTTCCCCCAATTCTCTCAACTACTTTTGCTTTTTACAATTTTTTATTCTTCCACCTACCTCACTACCTCCATATTTTATTACTTTCTCCAATTTCTCCTAAAACTCCGCGCATGGAGAAATGGAGCAAGTTTAAAAACGGAGGGAGTATTATATATGCTAAATTGAATACATTATAATTCAAAACCTACAAACCACCGCTGTTAGTGATTGTTGCCTGATCACTAGTGGAAATTTAGAGATGAGATAAACAACTTCTCCACAGCTGATAAAGGTTGAAGAAGACGCCTCTTTCAAAACGTTTAGTTTTGTCCAACTGACATGCGTGTCAAGATTTCACATTTGCTTCTACTTCTATCCGCATTTTCGACCACAAGAACCAATGAAGATGTACTTCCTGCGTTCTTTTGACATCAACATCCTATTTTAAACCAAATATCTCCTAACTGTGGACACACATTCATTGTCATTCTTTTTCTATGTTACACTTTTGTGGAATCAGACTCCTCTCTCGAAGTGTCGGTGGCACTAAATTGCGTCAATCAAAGCTTGTTTTGTCAAGAAAAATCTTATTTGTTGAGGAACTATTGTCATAATTGTCCATAAGTACCATAATATTGCCTACTCTTTCTTCAGAAGCCCTGTAAGCGATGAGACTTTGAAATGAATTTTAATGAGTTTTCTATTATAATTGCTGTATAGACTTGGATTGTTCCTGCTTAAATATTGCCTTTACTTTTGTGTCATCCATCCAAGCTCTGCCTTAGGTCAGTTTGGTGACTATGACACTATGTGTGACTCAAGAACATTTGTTATGTGCTTGTGAAATAACGTTTTCTTTATTTATAACTTACCTACATGCAATTTTCTTGGGAAACTTGAAAATTTTAATTCATATGTATCAGCTGGTGTATTATCTAGTACCTTTGGCTGATCAGCTTTTTATATACAGGTAAAGCATGTAGATTGCTATACCACTACATTGACAGAATTAGAAACTGTTGAGGCAAAGTTTAAATTGCAGTCTATGATGCGAGGTAAGCGTTGGTTGGGTTTTTTTTTTTTTTTTTTTTTTTTTTTTTTTTTTTTTTTTTTTCCAATCATTGCACTACCCAATTTTATAAGATCATCTCTTGTCTATTTATTAAATTTAGATGTTATAAAACTTTTCAAGTGATCTATTCCACAAGGCTAGTACCAGTCTTGGGCTTCTAGGTAAAAAAAAAAATTATTGAAGTTGAAGAAATGATATTCCCCCCCACCCCCCCTCCAATTAAAGAAATAATAAAAGAAATATTGATGGATTTATGATGAGTCTATTATAGTTTGTTGTTGAACACTTCACGTTGCTTGAGTGTATAGTGTAGACTATGGTGGTTATACTCACGGTTACTCTGTAACTGCTTCTATTTCATTTTATGAGATACCCTTTTGGCTGATTGACTACGTAGTTCCTTGTTACCACATATTAGGGTACAACTAATAGGCTGAGGGCTATTAAGGCTGAACTAATAAGAATAATGGTTAAAATGATTCCAAAAGTTACTTTTATGTTCTGATTTAATGTGCGACATTTCAAATTGTGAGTTGTGAGCAGCTGAGCTATAACCCGTGTCTTCTGTTACAATTTTATGAATTCAGCTCCACTTCATGGCTTTGCATTCTGGTTTGACGTTGAATTTGGTGGACCTGCCAATTTGCCAACCAACAATGGTGCTTCCTCCAATGATAATACTACCAACAATAACTGTGAAAATGACAGACATAGAAAGAGATCTACAAATCCTAGCGAAGCACTTGTTTTATCTACTGCCCCTGAGGGTCCACCAACACATTGGCAACAGGTACTTTCTTCCTCTACATATTCCTAGCTATATCTTGGGGCCTGATACACGAATTCCTTTGTAATGTGGATGTGGATTCTGTGCTTGTTATCATGACATTATTCATGTGCAGTGATGTGGAGTCTATGATTGAGTAGTATCAAGTTCAAGTACCAACCCAACAACCTAGCTCTAAATGCATACTCTTCTTTTTTGGTTATGTGTGATAGATACTTCTCTTTGATAGGTTCTCAGATTCAGCATATCTTCCAACTTATTCTAGTGCTCCCCTACATAAGTGTATTTGTTGATGTCATAGTAGACTCTTTATTATTATAGTCAGATGATAGAAGCTTTAGTTTTCATCCAGAGGTCTTTCTATGTGCTGATTCAATCTTGTCTCTCTAGCATCTTGTCCTGTTGTGCTTGTTTAAGATCCCTGGGATTGTAGTTAACAAGATGAGTGTAAGATGTGAGCCTTGATTTAAAGATCCCAAAAGTTGAAGTTGACAAGTCGTGTTGCAACCATTCAAGAAATTTTAGTCCTGTTTTGCACCTGACAGACTGTGCCGTCTGGCTTGGTCATACGCCTGAGCAACATCGTGGTTATAAATCCAAAAGGTTGCAAGACTTGTGGGATAATTATTGATAACTAGGAGGCCTTGAGTTTGTAACTCCAACTTTGTCACCTTAGATTGGGACTTTCGTGGTAGTTACTTTTGGTAAGTTATGTCCATTGATTATAGTAGAGGTCAAACTCCATTTGTTTAGAAATTCTGAGAACTCTGGTTGTACTCAACCTCTTTGTATGAAAGCTAATGAACATAGTGTTGTTTGAATCTTGACATCCCTACCGAAGCCTCGGTTAACCCGTCAAGGCCCATCCCTGCAATTGTGTGATAATGTCCAAGAATTTTTTTTCAAAACCTATTGGTTTCCTATGTAATTGTGTGGCTTGGCAGCTTGCTTATGTAATTGATCAGTGAACTGCTTGCACCACTCAGTAGAATTTATTACTGTGTCATGTAAGGAATAGCCTTCCTCTTGATATTAAAAACATGTATTTGGATGGTTGCAGACGTTGATTTACTTTTATGAGCCAATAGAAGTTGAGCAAGATCAGCTCATTGAAGGATCTGTGACCCTAACGCAAAGCAAGGAAAACCGTCGGTTCATGAATATTCATCTTGAATACACGTGAGCCTCTTGACAACTCATTATAATTGGATGATTGTAGTGAAATGTATATATGTGATATGACATCCTTTTCTTGCAGTTCTGGTGGCCGGAAATTAGTTAAAGAAAGTGTTATGCGCTGAGCTTCTCATGATTTGGAGTTCCATGTATTGGAGCAAGTTCACTGCCTGATGTTGCTGGCTCAACCATGACGACCAACAATTGATACACGTTACTGTATTGTTGAAGGCATATCTATCTGTATCAGTTCTATATCCTACCACAGCTCTGAAATAGTGAAATGTAAGATAAACAAACTATATGGGTCTAAGGGTATGGATCGCGGTGTTGCTAACATCGAATATTTGATGTGGACTTCACACCCTATTCTTTTTTACAATTCTCCCTCAAGGGTGTAGTTTTATTAGAAATAGTAATTGTTACCAGGCAATTCTTTGAAAACAGAGAGCTCTGTATCAGAATGTTATTGCTATACTATAGCTGTCCTTTAGTATTAAGTAGTTAATTATATCTTGGATGTCGCTTTAATTCTCTTTTTTAATTTACCCCTTTTGGTGTTTTTGTTCTATGATAATGCAATTGTGCATATAACAGTGACACTATATAACAGTGACACTTTTTATAGCTTTGGGCAATGTAATGGGGTGTTTTGTACTTTTGTGGGATTCAAGGGCAAAAAATACGAAGTTGCTTTGAAAAGCTAAAAGAGAATTTAGTTGGTACAAAGTATATTTCACTCAACAGTTGGATGGGTTTCAAATGTTTAACTTAATTTTGCAACCAGGTTATAGCGTTATAGGAGTTTAAGAATTGACTTTTTTTTTTTTTTTTTTTTTTTCTAATGCAAGGGACATCGACTTATTAAGAATTGATACCTTTAACTTCTATTAATTCAAATTTTTATTAAAATTATTGTAGCATGTCTTTCACATTTCAAGAAATTGATTTTTTTTGCAAGTTAATCTATAATAAAATAAATATGAAAAACTGGTATACTAAAACAATTACGACAAAATAATACAAATCTATCAATTTCTCACTCTATGCTAAATTTAGTTTGATTACATTACTTAATATTTGTTATCGAATTTTGTTAAGTATGATATACATACTATAATTTTTGTACTTTTTCACAGGTAATATATATATATAGGTAACTTCATTTAAATTTTTTGTTACATCATTTATTAGTTTTGTATAAATGTATCGCCATGCGTATTTTGATTTAATTTCTTTTCTTTCTAGGAAGTGGAATAGAATAACTCGATTGAAGCGTGATGATCATACGTCTGTAATGCATTGTATGTCCCATAACAGGTCCCATCCTTCTGCCCTTTCCGGGGAGTCGATGACTATTCATAGCTATTACAAAGTTCGACCCAATGCTTTATTTCCGTCCTAGTTGATCTTGATTCGACATTAGAAGTATATTGCTTTTTCCCCAATAACTGAATACTTTTGTCAATACTACATATTTGATTCCATCCATAAATCGATTTCTAAATTATAGGGTTTTAGTTTTTTTTGTTATATATTGTTATTTTGTTGGAATTTCGTAATATATTGAATTGCTAATGTTAATTTGTTGAACATGAGATCAGGAATAAATTCTGACAAGATTATATAAGAGCCTTAGTTATATAATATTAGGTAAACATGCATATTCTCATTGATAATATTAGGGTTAAAAGTCCTAATTGAATTAGGTAAACATATTCTCACATGTAGTTTTAGCCTCATATGTAGTTTTAGCCTTTTAGGTTTAACTCTGTATACATACTTAAAAAAAGCCTAAGGTATCTTATTTCTATTTCTCCTTAAAAATTTAGATTAGGAATTTCATAATATGTAATAATTATGTTAAGTTTTAAGTATTTTAGGGTGAACACTATATTGTGAAATAGGGGATTAGGAATAAATTATTCTAAATTTAAACGTTAAACAGTGACGAAGTAACACTTTTGTTTTCTAATTTTTTATTTAAAAGATAAATAATTAGGAGAAAGATCAAAATAAGTAGTAAATCTAAATAATGCCCAACACCACTATTTATAGATGATGTATGGAGGTGGAAGAATTCTGTGGAAAATTCTACACACATACTCTTTAAATTGCCATAGAATTGATCTTCAAGATCATTCACCAATTCTAGATTCTTCCACGAAATTTTTACATACCTTGAGATATAATTAATTGGGTTTATGGAATTGATTTATGTAATCAATAGTTATGAAAAGATTCTTAATTACATACATTAGGTATTCTCATTGATAGGGTTAAGGTTTATTTTAGGTGTAACTCGTATAAGTTTTAAATTATGCACTTTGTTTTCTTCAATATTTACCTCTGATCACTTAATTTCTTCAAATTATTGATGCAGGTCATGGAAGACGAGAAGATAATAAATTTCAAAGGTATAATCTTATACATGTCGGATCGAGAAATCCTTAAAAATCCATGCTACATTAATGACCAGATTATAGAGTTCTACTTTCGGTTCTTAACATTCACATATGAAGAACAAGACATCCTCTTTGTATCCCCTGCAGTCTCATTCTTACTCGCTAATTCTGATTTTGTGGGAGTAAAGAACACTGCAGAGTCCCTCAAACTCGTCGATAAAAAACTTATTTTTTTCACCATCAACAACACCGTCAATAACGAAGAAATATCGACTGACACGGAAGAATGTACACAATGGAGTCTACTTGTATATTACAAGACCCTTCATGTGTTTGTGCACCATGATAGTGTTAAAGGACTAAACCATTCGGACGCCAAAAAGCTTTACGATACTGTCAAGGAGTTTGTAGGGGATGATGACAAACCATCTATGACTCTAAAGCAGCCTAAAAAGATTAGGAAGAATGGACTAGGCAACAATTTTGACAAAGGTTCGACGACAACAAAGGTGGATGATGATGAAGAGGCTGTATATATAGAGTTTTTTACACCACAACAAACCAATGTGTATGATTGTGGTCTTTATGTGATGAAAATTGCTGCTGTTATATGTGAATGGTACTTGTCTAGGAAAGCGAGTGATGACAAATATTGTCTTTGGTATAAAGTTGTTCGAAACCAAGTCCTCCAGTGCTATGTTGAGAACCAAATGCGATCTGATATACTCGAATTTGTGGATTTGCTCAATGATAATGACTGTGTCATTAGTTGATTTTTCCTTTTTATGGATTCGGTTTATTTATTTGGTATGCTGACCTATATGGATTTTATGATGACTAACAAATGATAGTAATTATTCTTGAGTTTTTGTACTTAGATGAAGTTAAGTTTTGGATTATGGGTCTGTTTTTAGTATTTTATTTATTTAGTTAAACAAATGAAGTAAATTTTATAATTCTCATTGATTCAAATGTATAGATTAATTTGATACTTGCACAGCAATTAACTTGGATATGACCATGCATATTATAAGAGATGTGATAATGTTGTGGCACATCTTACTGCTACACTAGTTCCTTTATTTGGATGGGGTTAAGCAAGTTTTCATAGTTTACTTCTCTACAAATTGGTTTCCTTCTATATATAGGATTTCTAATTGAAAATACTATCTAGGGTTAATTCTTTATTTGGATATGACCATGTTAAGAGATATTGTTTTCCTTCAAATAAAATATAGATATTGTTTGGGAAATATATCTTTTGAAATTCAGTTTTCGAAATTCTATCTCTTTGTGCGAGGATTCTCAAAGATATTTTACTTAATTATCTTTTTATACTAGGAATTGATTATTTGATTTTACATGTTAACAAACAATCTGGTGCTCTTAACCATAAATCCATCATGCTATTCTCAATAGTTATATTTATGGCTTCATGCCCTTATTTCGAGTAAGTTAAAATCTTGCTGATCTTGTAGCAATGGTAAAGCTAAAACCCACTTAACATTATCTTCCACTAAAAATTCTAGAATAGACCAACCATCTAGTATATCATTCGAAATGTGATTATTATATCATACAGAATGTGATTATAACGTTCTAAAGGTGTAAGTATATCATCCAAAAGTGATTATATCATCCAGAAACTGATTATATTATTTGCATTGTAAATGTATTATTCAAAAAGTAAATGTATCATTAAAAAAAAGTATCAAACAGTAGTTATATATCATCTAACTAAATTATTTAAAATACGCCTATATCATTTAAAATATGACTCATACAAGATAATTATATCATTTAAAAAATTGATTATATCATCCAAAATGTGACTATATTAAATATTGGGTATATACAATAAATATAGTATAGACCGAGTTTATACAAGACCTTCTAATCTTCCACTAGTAATTATATAAATGCTAGGACATCATCTGTTGTTCAATCATATACACCATGTAATAATTGATTTGGACGAGACATATGCAAGTGTACGAGTCTAGGAGATGATCGAAATCCTTGTGTTTGTCTCAATGCTCTATATTGATCATCAACCATGGAAAGACAAAAATAAAAAGAAGAAAAAGGGTTTAGGAATTTGGCCATCATCATCTAGAGTTCGTTGATTGATGAGTGCATAAATTATTCAATGAAATGACGAACTATATACACTTGAGACAAAATTGGTTGATGTAAGTGTAATCTTCTCAAGATTTGTGTGCTTTTTATCAAGGATTTTTCAATTTTCATCTTTCCAAGGTTGTAAGATATATATTCTAAGACTACTTTCACAATCATGAGTAAACATTCTATATATATGGAATTACTGTGGCAATCTTAGGCACGATTTTGATCATCTACGTATTGTCCCACCATGGATTTTGTTCTTCCAAATTACTGTTTTTCATGTTCGGCATTCCGAAGTGGTTTGCTACAATTAATCTTTAGCTTGAGGTAATATAAAATTTTAGCAATCTATGTAATTGCGCAATCTATAAAAATGTTTAATGTAATAACAACTCATATGACAAATCTTTTGGGGGCGTTTTGCACAAAATAATATAGTAATTGAAAAGGTTTGTACGCTCTACATGCATATAGAGCTAGATATATTTATATTTATTCAGTGTATTAACTAACAAAATTGTTGTTTTGAACTGTTTTGTTCTCAAACAAATCTAAATACTATAGTTTCTTTTTTTTTTTTTTTTTTTTTTGGTTAAACACGTAGGCAAAAAATACGGACAAAAGTTATGAGAAATATAAGAGAAATGGTCATGTCTTTGTAACATTAGAACCTTTTAAATAGAGTCCAAAGTTCTATCAATTATCTGATCTATACATTTATATAGTCTTATTCCACATCAAATCTTGGACTTACTTTCTCTCTAAAACTCAACCAAGACCCAGAGTTAGTTCTCTAATTAAGCTTTTCTTTTTTATTTAGGAAAATTCTCTAATTAAGCTAGAAAGCTACGTATATAGACGAAAAGCAAAAGATTTAAAATAATATCAATTGTGGACATACCAATATATAGCACAAATAAAATAAAAATAAATAAATTTGTAAGCCACTTTTCAAATACCAAAGATGATATTGTATTAAAATAAGATTAAGATGGAGAAAACTTTTAGGTGGTAATAATGGCTCAATTATTGAGAATCTCTAGTTTATGGATGCCAAATGTATTCCCAACTTCCATTCAGAAGATCGAAGTATATATATGTCCTTTTCTAAACCCTCCTTTTAATTTTAATTTGGTGACATTTATTCCACTTAATCTTATTTTTCTCTACACTAATTTATCATCAGTTTGGTACATTCTTGTCGTGTATTCATGCAAATTAATTAAATTAATTAATTAAGATAATTGAAATTTGATCCCATCGTAATCCATGTCCACTCCTATGCTCAAGGATAGTATAATCATCCAATTGATTGCTAGCTTTGATTAATTGGTTTTTTATTACCCTTATATTCTAATATATATGTGATAATGGGAGGTGGAAGATTTTATTTAATAATAAATGGGGGCATTCACAAGCTGCATTAACAATAATTAGTAGCTTTATGAGATCATATTTTTCCATTTAACCTACTAATTGCGCTGGAAAACACTCCTTTATTTTAATATACTTTTCTCTTTTGTTATTCATGTTATTACTCGTCCTACATTATGCCTGAATTTCACGGCTATGAATTAAGTGTTAAGATATATTATGAACTATAGCACAAGATAGACGATCTTAATTAAATTATGAGATAAAAATGTCTCCTTGATCATTTCAAATAATTGTGCACACTATAATATTAGAATTGGTCATGCAAATCATTTGTGTATCACTTACATAAAATGTCATACCTATATATCAATACAATTGTCTCATACAAGCATATTGCATTGTTATTACTACCTTAGAGTGTTTCTCTATTTATAAACGGATACATGTGAGTCAAGTCGAGTTGTGCCCAACTCATTATCAAAGGCTCATCTTGCCTCAACCCCAACCGCTCCCCCCTTCCACCCTTTCCACAAATGTATCCACCTAAGTTTGAACCCAACACATATACGTAGCATAAGCACAAGTGCACCAAAATAGCTAGGAAAAATAGCTCCTACATAACCAGGAGTTTGGCATGCACCCACTTTCAATATAATGCATAAATTGCTCCTAGTCTCTTACAAAAATGATTGAATGTGCTCACTTTGCGTGGCATACATCTTGAATGGATTACCGGCTCAAAGATTTGAGATCAAATTTCATTCGTCTATATAGTTAACTTCAATTCCTTTAATATAGTAATTCCACAGCTCTTTAATTTATAGATCGAAATAAGTTGGTTAAGCTAAGTACTATACGTAGCAGTTAATAACAATCACACTTTGATTTATAAATTAAAAATGTAAGATTATACAGGCCATATTATCTTTCATAAACTAACCCCCTACACTGATTGAGAGGCAAAAAAAGGTGGGCTAAATAAACAATCACACTTTGATTTATCCTTAAATTAATTGAACTTGGAAGCCATTTTGTCAACAAAAGAATTCCAACTTTTCATTATAGATAACCCATTACTTATTAATCAGTGAAAGAAAACAGGGTTGGAATTTATAATGTGATCGAATTTATTTGGAACACTATTATTGTAACGTTGCTAAGTGTCTTTATCAATTCAGCCAATTGTTCTACACGTAAAGAGTTGAACTATCATGCAACTACTGAAGTATATTTGGTATCTTGTACTATTATTAATATATAACCAAAACTATTATTTTAATAATCATAATTATCTCGCCTCTTTGATTGAACAACGAGTTATCTCTCTTCAAATGATGGATTTGCATAGATACTTACTACATTCTCGATCTAATTCAATATACTTGCAAAACTTTGACTTTCATATTTGTCATTAACTTAAACTGATAGTTTAGAAAATATTAATTGAGACTAACTTAATTACATTTTACATATTCCCTCTATCCTTTGATAATGGTTTCATGTTTATGCACAAAATTATAGTAAGGTGAATAAATGAAATAGAGAAAGCTGATCAATGAAATGGATCGTAATTTACATCTAGGGAATAGATTTTGGATAAAATTGTGACTTTTATTAAATGGAATGGTCATATTTGTAACAAAGTGTTAATTTATAACAAAAAAAGTGCATACATATATGTATTGTTCAAAGAGTGAAATTACATGTAAATTTCGTGTGTTATCTTATTGTAGTATCTTCAAATAATTAAACTTGACTTAAGTTCTAGGAGATTGGGTGGTGAAAGTTTGTAAACCACTAAAATCAAAAGGGGTAGATTTAGATAGATGTATGAGAAAACATCGTCTTAGCTTGATGCACACGTACCATACAAACTAGTGCGTGACTATGTCGGTCTTATTTTATTGCTACTACCCGGCCACCACGGACCAAACCCACCTCCACTTTTCATGCCCTTGGCTTATTTTTTCAAGTTGATGATTGGATCCATCTCTAGCTGCTATAGACTTTCATTGCAACAAATTCTAATATAACCACGTATTGCAACCAAACTCATTTTTGGGGCTTCATAGACTCATTGATTAGGTTGTTTTATTGCAAACAAAGTGTTATGATTCGTGGGCCAGGTAGGTGATTGGATTAATCTCTTACAACACGCACTAGAATCTAAATGTAATAAATTTCTAAAATAACCAATATGAAGTATATAATTGAATCAAACTAATTCTTGAGACTTTAAAAACTTTATATTTGCAATTGAGATTAGCGTCTTGGCTTGTCTTAGGGCCAATGCAAGTCTATACAATGACATGACAGAAAATGCAACACATACCAAGGTCAATACAAGATAACAAGGCCAAGCCGCCCATGTAAGACAAGAGAAGACATCTTAAGACATGATGATAAGGGTGAACCAAGGAATAAATGAGATTGTTCCAAGGACCAAGTAAGCCTCCTAAAGCCCTTTGGGAACACCAATAAGCACTTCAATGCGTAATTTTCTTGTATCTAAAATATGTCATTTGAAAGCTATAATACACGAAATTGGAGTAATTTTAGAGCTTTTGAGACCCAATGTTAAAAACTCACAAAATTATAGGATACGAATTCTGAAGTCATATAATGCTGTTTTGAACTAGATATAGCGATTAATTAGTCACATAAAGGCCAGCGATGACCCTTAGCCAATGAAAGGAGGCATATACAAAAAAAAAAAAAAAAAAAAAAAATTAGAGCTAGCAAACATGGGTCGGGTTGAGGTTGACCTATTTACATATACACGGGTGAATACCCCAAGTTGAACCCGACTTGTTTAGATAAACGGGTCAAAAAGTTAAACCTAAATCTGACTAGGTGTTATACGGGTTGACCTAAACCCGAACCGATTTAAGTTTGTGAGCGCAAGTATGACATAAGGTGCAACATTTAATTAATTAAGCACACAAAGCAGGCTGCTGAAGTGTAAAAGCAACATTAACATACATAGTTATAGAAAATATAGCTTATTGTTGTGGCTAAAATTGAAAAGTCATGGATTAATTTAAAATATACTACGTACAAGCTAATAGAAAGTTAAACTAATGCGAGCATGTATAGTGGAATTAGCTCGTCTACCTATCTATGTCTTAGCTTTAAAGCGCACCTTATTATAAAGGCTACTGCATATTGTATTCTCTAACCTTTTCATGTTCCATTAATACTCCATAACCTATCAAGTATGTAGTTATATCCTATAATAATGCATGCATAATCCTTTATTTTATTTTTTATTTTTGTTGTTGGGAGATTTTGGAGATTGATGATATATCATTATTTATGAGAAAAGCATGAGGTATAAAGATTTTATGTGTACGTAGGAAATTTACATTAGCTCATACACAATAACATTGATAATGTAGCTGGTAGGGATTTCACCTTATGACCTTAACTTAACATTGATGTTATAGCTACGTTTGATTTCTACCAATTACGGTTCTTGAAATTGGATGAATTAATTGAGGTTCCATAATCCCTTGCCCTCAATCCTCAAGAGCCTGAGTTCAATAACTTGAATAGTTTACTTGTGATAGGGTAGTAGCTAGCACAATTAACACTTATTACTCCGTAATTGTTTAATCTAAATTTCATGCATTTTTGGGTTGTTTTTTTTTTAAAAGATTGCCCTATTTTCTTATATAGTAACATGTCCTCACCATTTACCCCTTGCACTCACTCATACATAACTTAAAAATATACAGTATATATAATGAGGCAGAAAATATATACTTTATTCAATTGCAAAATTTTAGTTCAAGCCTTAATAAAGTACAATTTGTCTATGAGACAAACATATAAGAATAAAGGAATTACAAAACAACGATGAAATGTACATGCCCGTAAGCCTTGGTCACAACATAGCTTCGTCCATGAATATGCACTATGCAATAGGCTTTGTGTAGATGCCCCATAAAAGAGGGGTTACATTCCCTACTTGGGATCTTGTAGTAATGTGAATACAAATACAATCTCATACTCAATCACTCAATTCCAACCACACCTATTTCCTCCTTCTAAAAAGGACAAACAAAGATGATTTCACTGCTCACTAAAAATTCCTCTGCCCTCTTTACTACATACTACCTACCTCATACAAAATACACAACACAACTTTATCCTAATCATACCCCATCACACAACAAAATTAACCCAAATAAAACAGACCAAGGGGCCATCAAAGTCAACAATGATTTCCTTGCATTGCTTTTCACTATTTCATTTTTTCTCCAAACCCAATACCAATAAATCCTCCCTCTCTTCACCCTCAAAAATCTCACATTTTTTCACTTTCTAATTATCCCACTTTTAAACCCACAAAACAAAACACATACATAATAATTGCAACCAAATGACACTCCACAAAAGAAGACTAGTTCAAACTAGTACCATATGTTTCTCTATCAACTCCTTTTCTCTTCAAGTGGTGGCCACAGCCACACTACTAGTGTTTCTCCGCCTTTCGTGTGTCGCGGCCACCCACACAACCACCAATCGTGTGACATCCTACCCGAATTTCCAACACTTGAATGTCCCTAAAGAAATAGCCTCCAATAAGCTTCAAATTAAGCATTCTCGTCCTACAAAATTAGATATCGATCATCACCATCATCATAATCCTCTTCCTAAATTTAATGAACTAAAAACCGTCACATTATTATCCAATGACGACAACAACAACAATAAGAATTCAAGTTTGAACCTTAAGTTCAATCTCATTCATAGGGACAAGCTTAGCAATAAACTATCGGCATCTGGCAAGCACAAGCATGATCACACCCATCGATTCTCGCTCCGAATACAGCGCGACATCAAGCGTGTTGCCGGCCTCATTCACCGCCTTTCGAATACTAACACTAGTGGTGTGGATGATTACAAGGTGGTGGAGTCATTCGGGTCGGACGTGGTTTCGGGTATGGATCAAGGGAGTGGAGAGTACTTCATAAGGTTAGGAGTAGGAAGTCCTCCAAGAAAACAATATGTTGTCATTGACTCGGGCAGTGACATAGTTTGGGTACAATGCCAACCTTGTAAACAATGTTACAAACAATCTGACCCGGTATTCAACCCGGCCCAATCAGCCTCGTATTCGGGTGTCTCGTGCTCGTCGTTCGTGTGTAGTCGGATTCAAAACTCGGGTTGCAGCCACGCAGACCGATGCCGGTACGAGGTGCTATACAGTGACGGATCTTACACCAAGGGGAACCTTGCATTTGAGACTATCACAATTGGTGGGACTGTTGTAAGGAACGTTGCTATGGGTTGTGGACATAGTAATCAAGGCATGTTTGTTGGGGCTGCTGGTTTGTTGGGGTTAGGTGGTGGGTCCATGTCTTTTTTGGGCCAACTTGGGGGTCAAACTGGTGGAGCCTTTAGTTATTGTCTTGTGAGCCGAGGGTCTGGAACCCCCGGCTCACTAGTATTTGGACGAGAAGCTATGCCCGTTGGGGCTGCTTGGATCAACTTGGTCCGCAGCCCCCGGGCCCCTAGCTTCTACTACATAGGGCTTATGGGACTCGGGGTAGGCGGGGTCCGAGTCCCGCTCCCTGAAGGTGTGTTTGACCTCAACGGGTCAGGAGACGGTGGAGTGGTCATGGACACGGGCACGGCCGTGACCAGGTTTCCTACCACCGCCTACCAAGCATTTCGGGACTCATTCTTGATCCAAACCGCCAACCTCCCCCGGGCCTCGGGGGTGTCGATTTTCGACACATGTTATAATCTAGCCGGGTTCGGGTCAGTACGAGTCCCGACCGTATCATTCTACTTTACGGACGGGCCAATCCTGACCCTCCCGGCAAAGAACTTCTTGATCCCTATAGACGAGGCGGGTACATTTTGCTTCGCTTTCGCTCCTTCGTCGTCAGGACTATCCATCATAGGAAACATTCAACAAGAGGGTATTCAAATATCTATTGATGGTTCCAATGGTTTTGTAGGATTTGGACCTAATATCTGCTGAATGTTTATGAAGTTATGAACACCAAGCAATTGATTGAATTACCAATTTTATAGTCATCATACTACTACAGTATAGAAGTAACTCTAATAAGTAGTATAGTAATAGTATTATAGTAATACTGGATCCCCCTTTGTAAAGTTAAATTACGGAGTATTTTTTTTTCTTTTTGCAATTTTGGCCTATATTTTTACTCTTTTTCTAGTCAACTTTTGTTACTGCTATGATCGATTATGATTGTATTGATAAGTGTAATTGATAAATAAAACCATATATTATGTTTATGAAGTATGTAATAGTATGATAATCTATCTGTACACACGTGAGCTTGCATATAGTAGTATATGTTTAGACTTTATTAATTAATCAAGTTTAAGATCGAAAAAGGGATGACAATTAACATAATTTATATTTATTTGGGTGCAAGAATTGGTGTTCAGATTAAAGAGAACATGAAGTATAATAGTGGGGTCATCAATAATTCTTGATGTTTAGGTGATATTCAAAGAGAGGGTAAAAGGTTTGTGTGGGAAAAAGCTAATTATAGTAGTAGACAGTCAAACAAAACAATATGCAATTATTACCATTTTCCAGGTTACAAGGGCAGCCCACTAAGGGTGACCCTTTTGGACAACTGTAAGAATCCAAAGGTTTTTCTTGTTACATATTTTAATTTAACATATTTATATAAATAATTAATAATAATTTTACAATATGGTCAATTATATCCTGTACCTGACTGCCTAAGTCCTTCGAGAGACTGCGATATATATAGCGGTTATTTTGGTTTTAGCATGGTGGTCGAGTATGTGGCAAACCACCACATTCTTCAGCAACTGATCTTGCTGATTCTTCAGTCAAACTGCAAGCTGTTTCGGGGTTTTCTGATGTCCTGCGGGAGAGTTACAATTCCGAGACTGGAACCGGACGCCTGTACCTGCAAAATAACGGAGACTCCTGAGAGCTCCGCCTCCAACGGTCAAGTTAGTACCTGATTAAGGAGTAATTAATACAGAAATTAAAGTAATGAGATCTCTCTAGGTGAGAGTGCTTAGTGTTGGTAATCTGCGTCGTTAGCGAGATTAGCCGGTTGTTAATAACTCTGTTCTTCTCTGCTTGATCTCTTCATTATTCGATCCTTTGATTAATGAGGATTAATTGAGTATTTATAGCCTTGAGAAGCGTGCAACTCTCTAGGTTTAAGGTAAACCTAGGGCTGATCAGGCCTCTAGACTGGATTGGGCCTTGGTGGCCGGTTCTCCCACTTGGCATGGGTGGACACGTGGCGTGTCTAAAGTGGTCCGTAGAGGACGTATCTGTGATTGACACGTGGCAGGCTCCTGTTGGCCTTCGTGAAGGACACGTGGCGGAACCTGGTTGGTCCACTTGTCAGACGGTGATTGGTGGATAAAAATCCCCTAATCATTTGCCCCTCACAGGTGGCACGTGACTGGTTACGTGTCGCCTGTGACAGGTGTCACACGGTGATAGGCGACGGCCTGTTACAGGTGTCACCTTGCAAACGGCCGAGAGATTTTCCCGCCCAAATTTTGAATTTGGAAGCGACCCTTCGCCTTCTCACCTTGCCTATATAAGAAAGTGCTGACTTCGGTCATTTTCACATTTGAGAACTTTGCGAGAACATTCGGACCCTTGAACTTGCTCTGACATTTCGGACTTTTTCTGCCTACCGCCTGTTCTGACAAGCCGACTGACCCGAACTTCCAGGACTTCATCAACCGTCACTCGTTCAGGTAACTCAGTTCTCTTACTCTTAATTTCCTTTTATTTTTTGAAATGGCACCATGGAAGCACACGACACGACCTAAGTTAGTGATCAGCCGGTCACCGGGGACGGCTGAATCTAGGACTAGGAGTGCCGCCTGCCCTTTTCTGGACCCATCTTTGCCCTTTATACAAAGTCCGACTGTATCTGTGTCTATGCAGAACGTGATGGCCAGAACGAAACAGACTGCTAAGATATCAAACTCAGACGGCTCCTCCCAAAGGGTGCTCCTTAGTGAAACATCTGACCAGGCGCCAGATGTAGAACGAGGCGACTGTCAAGCCGACAGTTCTGAGAGAGGGGCCAAGGTGTTCCCTTCCCATCTTACCGTTGACATGTCTAATTTTCCTTCTGCTCCTTCTAAGGGAGAGGAGGCGGGCCCCTCTAGGAGAGGGGAGGAGTCGTCCTCCTCGGACTCGTCAGAGGACGAGTCTGAGTCCAGCTCTTCTGGACACAGTTCTCCAGGCTCAGAAGAAAAACATAGCCGCCTACAAGAGGCGAGACTTTCTCATGCAGTTGAGAAGGGGGATAATTGGGCAGAGCCGTCCGCCTCTTACAGAGAGGAAAACGCCCCCTACTACTGCAGGGTACCCCGGGGCCGGATTGCAACCATGCAAGACAACGTGGCGAGCTTTATTGCTAACCACAAAATGGGCCCGGAATTTTTACTGTTCGTGCCGGATCCAGAAGACACTGTCGTCTGGCCGGCTGGTACCAGCTATGGTGACGGCTGCTTTGGCTGCTATGTGGCGGCCATCAAAGCTGGACTGCGCTTCCCATTACATCCGGCTGTTCAGCGGATTTTAGATGGGTATGATCTGGGGTTATGGCAGTTAGCCCCCAACTCTTGGGTAAACGTACTCGGCTATGTGGCCGAGTGCGAAATGTACGGGGTGGAGCCAAGCTTTGAGGCTTTCGCCCACATGAACTATCTCAGCCGGACCCCTAAGTCGGGAGGTACCGGCTGGTACCAATTAACAAGCCATAGGGGTTACCTCATGACAAAAGGTAAGGCGAACAAATGGAAGGATTGGCGGAACACCTTCCTTATTATCGAGGGTTCAGACACGGAGCTGAACAAACGCTTTAACAAGTGGAATAGGGATCCGCCTCTTCTCGCAGGCGGCCGCAGCATGCCGCCTGTTCCCCCAAAGGCTAAAAAAGAGATCCTAGACAAAGGACTCTTCAAAGTAGAGACTAGGGTGAACTCTACTTCAGGGGTACGAGAGCAAGTACCCCTAAACTGCGTCCCGAGCTTCAAGTGGCTCTATGACGAGTACTTTTTGGCCGCCTGTGGCCTCGGCAGTCGGTGCTCTAGAGGTAGCCGGCCTGACGAATACTCTGTTTTTTCACGCCTTGTTTACTTGGGATTTTTACTAACTTTGTTGTTTATTTCTTGCAGCTGACGCCATGAGTAAAATATCAGCATCTAAGACTGCGGCGGCCATGTTGCGGGCCTCGCTCATGAAGCAGTCGTATGCCGACTCCCCCAACAAGGAGGCACCCTTGGTAAACTTCGAAAACTCTTCCTCTTTTAGTTGTCTTATGCATATACTAACTCTTTTTGTTTTCAGTCTGGCACTCCAAGGGCTTCTTCCTCGCAACAGCCGGACCCCAAGGCCCGGAGGACGACTGTTGCAAGCTCTCCTGGGTCTTCCAGGAAAACAGTGGCGGCTGAGAAGCAGCCGGCCACTTCTTCAAAAACCCAGGCGGGGCCGCCTAGATGTATGGACCCTCACTTGTAAAAAGCTCACCCTTGCTTCCTTCTTGACTAGGTCTAACTTGTTTTTTCCTTTCGCTTAATGCAGCCGGCCCCCAGGGACTTGACTTGGTTGAGGTAGCCAAGTCTATGGTTAAAGTAGTTCCTCCATCTGACAGGGAGGCGGTCAGGGGTGCTGGCACCCTTGACCTTGATGGAATTTCAGGGGTCCTTGCTGAGGTATACTTAGCATATTTTTGAGCTTTTGAGTTCCAGGACGCCTGTTAACTTTTTATTTGGAAACTGACGCCTGTTTTTCTTTGTACTTAGGCCCTGCTCCGAGTCAACAGTCTTCGCAAGCCGATTGATCGGAAAAACAAAGAGGTAAAGGCCGCAAAGGCTATGGCCGCCTCCAGCTGTGATAAGGCAATGTTTCAAATTGCCCAAAATGAAGTACTGACCATTGATCTTCTTTATTATCAGGCGCAGGCTACCGCCGCTGTTCGGGCTCAGTTAGAGGCGGCCCAAAAGAAGGTTGACGAGCTGGAGGGGACCGTCACCAACCTTAAGGCCGAGCTGAAACCTCTTCGCCAAAAAATGCACTCTTACGAAGCCATGGAGAAATCTTTGGCCAACGTAAAAGAACGCCTGGTGACCCAAGAGAAGAGTCTTACCCAAGAGCTCTCGGATAAGGCCGAGCAAGAGAAACAAGAGCTCGTCCGGGAGATGGTGGAAGACTCCGCTCAAATCCAACGCATGACCTGGGAACGACTGTTCCCCAGTGCCGACTTTGCCTCATGGGAAAGAACGTACCGCCAGTGTTCGGAAACATATAATCAACAGATCCTGGCGGCTGCTGAAGAAGAGGCGTTGGACGGTGCGTTGGAGGAGGAAGAGCCGGTTGTGGCGCTTGTGCCACTTGGGGGTAAGGCATCAAAAGAGGGTGCAGCTAAGGCCGAGTCCAGCAAGAAGAGTGCTGACCAGGCGGCAGCTGCTGATACTGAACTGCCCCCTTCTTAAGCTTTTAAGTATTTTTTTTTTTTACACGGCCTGCGTGCCGTTTGATTTGTAATTACCCTGCCAGGGGGCCGGGGTTTTGAATATTCTGCTGGTCTTTTATGGCCGGCTCATTTATCAAATTTTTGTTTTGGTTCAAATTTGTCTAAGTATTTTTAATTTGTTCACTAGACCGACTGTTGTGTATGGCCGAACGTTAAGACAGGTACAAATAGTAAGTATGCCGCTTATGCCCCTGGACGACTGGTGGTCTTGTTTCCAGGGTAGATGATCAGTCGGCCATTTATTCAATCGGTATTCGAACTCTTTATTCAATTTGTCTGACCAAGTAAATAGAATTACCTAGTCGCCAAGGAATTAAGTAGGAAAA